GGGCCGAGCGCCTGGTCCGCGGGCTGCGAGGTAAGCTCGGCCTCGCGTGCACAGCCCCGGGGCGGAGGCTGTTGGTCGTGCCCTGGGAAGCGCGCCCCTCGGAATCCCCCTACGCCTCCCGCTGTTCTGCCGACCCGAGATGTGAAAGCCCTAGTAGAGTACGTCTGGGGGCTTTGCAGTGGGGAAGTGAGCCTTGCTTCTAGTACAGCCGACGGCGGTTACAACTAACTGCATGTGTGCTTACGTCACGAAATCGCGAAGAGAATTTTGTTCAGTGCTAGCACCCGTGACGTTTCTCTGCCCTCCCTGCCCCACTGTTGTCTCGCCCTGCTCAACAAAGTAACTGTAGTGTTATCCAAATTCATGGGAGGGGTGTGCCTTTAGGTTGTCACCAGTGATGTTCTTTTGGCGATGTTGCCTATGATTGGGGAAGGAGGAATTGTTGACCACATCACGAATGGAATATTTATGAAAACAAATATTTAACCATTTTTAGTTCTAGACACTTGTGAAACAGTTGCAAAGACAAGGTTACGTTGTTTAAAAACATTCTAGTATGCTTTTAAATCTTGGATGTTTTTAAATAACACTGTTCTTTGTGATGCCAACTAAATAATGAAATCTCCACGTACCAGCTGATCAGTGTGTGGAGTTCATTCACCCAGCTCGGCAAAGGGCAAGGGAGGAATTTTCAAATTTGCCAGTGCCCAGTAAGAGGATGCAGGCCGATTTTCGAGTAGCAAATGGGATCCTGCTTTACAAAGTTTTGTCTGAGACATCCTTGTTACAGTGTTGGATAGACTCTTACCCACCTTTTTTTTGGGGGGGTGGCAGCAGCAGGATTGAACCCGAGGGCACTTTGTATTTTACACTCAGCCCTTTTTATTTTATTTTGAGGCAGAGTCTCATCTAAGCTTCCCAGGCTGCCTTCCAACTTGCGAATCTCCTGTTTTGCCACTGCAACTGAATGAATCGCCATTTTTGAGTTTTCATTCTCAGTTCTTTTGACATTCTCCTGTCCTTCCCTGTCAGTTTGAAACTTGTGCACAGAACCCATAGAGGTGGTGCTGTAGCAGCATAAATAAGACAACTCTAGTCTACATTTAAATCTCAGTTCTGCTGCTCATTGGCTCTAACATCTTGAGCAAGTTATTTAACTTTCCTCATATGTTCTTTGATCCTTAAATTTTCCATCTATTAAAGAAGAAAAAAAGAAGAAAAGAGATAATCCTAGTGCTTAGTTCTTGATTTGTGGGAAGAATTGAATAAGATATCAGAAGTGGATAGTGTCTTGGTTACTTTCTGGGTACTGGCACAAAATACCTGATGCTCTCAAGTTCAAGGAGGAAAGGTTTATTTTAGCTCACAGTTTGGAGAGGTTTCAGAAGTTCATAGAAGGCTGACTCCAATACAGGGTAGCATGGTAAAGGAGAAACAGTCCCTGGTATGTTAGGCAGAAAAAGGCAGCAAGCAGCTGCCTTCCTTCTTCCCTTTCTATTTCATTTAGGCTACGAGACTCTTGGTTGGTACCACTCAGACAGGGTGGATCTTCTGTCTGCAGTAAATCCATTCAGCCACACCCATAACTATGCTAACCCAATTGGAGGACTGATCCAGACATCACACCCTTAATCCGGTATCACATACCCAAGATCCAGCCACCTCCCTAAATCCACACCTATGAGCACATAAGGCTCTGGGGAACATCTAGATATAAACCGTAACAGGTAGTAAGTCTGTATGTACCATGCTGTGAGTGCTCCATAAGCCTTACAAATTATAAAAATATATTTGGGCACTTCTTTTATATGCATGCTTATACTGGTTAATTTGATTCAGAATATGAAAATCAAAGGATCCTATTGATAAGTGAATAAAACACAAATACTTTGTAAGGTTCAAAACTATATTAAAATAAAGTATATATCATTCCACACTGTGTAATGTGCTTTTAAAAAGTATTCCCTGAAGTAAGACAGAAGTTTCTCTCTTTAAAAATAGCCAGTCACACGATCCTTGGAATGCAGGTTGAGCGTTTGGCAACATATATCACCTTTACCAAACTCAGTGGAATAAAATTATATGAAACACATATTTTATATGAGTTATATACACATTTATTTCTTTTAAAGAAATTTTTCAAGAAGCTTGTAGTTACTAAGCTCATACTCTTCAAACCTCTTGTCCAACCGTATCTGTGGAAGCTGCCAGATTGCTGAGTGCCAAAGGGTCCAGGCAGTGGGGCATCCTGAGGCCACGGAAGCCCCAGCTCTTCTCAGCCTTGGCCCAGACAGCTGTTCATCTGTTTCCCTGGTGATAGCCTGTTTGATAATTGGTAAACATAAAAAAATAATAGCACCTGTATCAGTGGCCTAATTCTTTCTTAGGGAGCCAGACTAAGGAAATTTTTAATTATAGAAAAAAATGTTAAATCTCATCAGTTTCTATAATGAAATTATAGTTGGCATTGTCACCTATTGAATAAGCAGCATGTATTAAATACTTAGTACCTATGATAAAGATAAAGATAGTGTAGCACTATCAGCTGCACAAAGAAACAAGTAGTATATCACCATTTTCCTTAGAATCTAGAAATATAAGATAATTAATGAAGAAGTTGTGATTTTTCACCCCTCTTGGAATAACAGTGATGGAAATTTTGGATGCATAATACAGGTAGTACCCTGGGGTCACGATAGCCAGCCACTTTTGGAAGTTTTAAAGTAGGGGAGATTACCGAAGTTTAGAGTGGTCAGAAGCTTCCTAGAGATCTATATAGCTACTCAGACTTCTGGGGCCTCTGCTTTTCAATGATTATAACAGAGCAGTTGCACTTAATCTCCAAGACCGCTTGTAGTTTCAGCATACTCTGGTTGTTCGGCAACACCGATTCCAGGTGAACTTCAAATGGTTCTTCTCTCTGTTCACTGGACAGTACATAAATCTGCTGCTTTAGCAGAAGTGGTATAGTTGAGAAAGAAGAAACACCTAAGGCCTGGTAGGAGTACTTTGTATCTAACTGAGGAACCGAGGCAGCTTCCCTGCCTACTAAGCAGATGGACATTTCGGAGCAGGAGCAGGGGCAGAACATCTTGGTGGGGAATGGAGTCATCAGAGCAGTGTCCAGGAGGCCTGCATAGGAGGCACCAAGGCAGGTAGACCTGGTGGCTAACGGCCAGGGAGGAGCTGCTGATGGAGTGGAGCACAGGAAGCAAAGGCTAGCCTGCAGGTTTCAGGCAATGCCCCAGACCAGGAGATGTGCAGCAGTAAAATGTAGCAGTCTGTTTATCAAATTGTCCAACTTCCTAAAGTTGAATATTTTTCTCTTATTGTGTCAGCTTGTAGAAGTCAGTTTCAGCTTGTTGTTTTAAACATGGATGCTTGGGCTTTTTGTTGCTGTTTCTAGAGAAATCACAAAGCATAAATTGATTATCCCTTAGCCAAAATGCTCGGGTCCTGAAACATTTTGGATTCTGTATTTTTTTAAGATTTTGGAATATTTGCACATACAGGGAAGATAGGACCCAAGTTTAAACATGAAACTCATTTGTTTCACATGCATCTTATACCCAGAGCCTAAACAGTGATGCTGAATTTTTCAGAAATCAAGTACCCATACTGCAACACAAAACCCACTTATTCATCTCAAAGTGCCCACGCTGCGATTAACCCAAATATGGAGGTTTTAGTTTAGAAGAAACAACTCACATTTTGCTCCTGTGACGACAGAGAGGGCTTTGCGTGCTGTGGATTCAGCACCACTGGCCTAAAAGTATTTTTATACACTATTTTGAGTGCCACCTGCATCTTGTGTGTAACCTGTCAACATCAGGTCAGGTGTATAATTTTCTGTTTGAGGGGTCATATTAATGCACACAAAGTTTCAGACTTTGGAGTATTTTGATTTCAGATGTTTGAATTAGGGATGCTCAACTTGTACTGACTGTGTTGGTCAGGGTGGGCTGCCACAACGTGCCCTCCAAAGTATAGCCCAAGAACTTGGGATCTGTCGGGTTCTTCCTCGCCCAAATACACACCTGGGGGAAGCTAATGTTCTTCCATCAAGAAGTCAGACTGCAGGAAAGTAAATGCAGAAGCAGACATGAGCACACAGCTACCTCCTGTGAGACTAGACCCTAAAGCCTTGCACAGGGCAGAACCAATGCCACACTTCTGCTCATTCATGTTGGTTCTGGAAAATACTCTGGTCTCCTCCACCTCCTCCTCCTCCTCTTCTTCTGCCTCTTCTTTTTCTTCTTCCCTTTCTCTTTCTCCTTCTTCTGCTTCTCCTTCTCTTCTCCTTCCCCTCCCTAGTTTATTTCACTTGGCATAATATTTTCAAGGGTTATCTATGTAGTAGCACGCCTCATTTCTTTAAATGATGGAATCATTGTACTATTTATCACATTTTGTTCATGCATTCCTTTGTTGGTAGACATGGGTGTGTTAGGGGGTTTTTTAACCAGTTCTTTTTTAAACTTTTGGCTCTAATGATTTTCCTTTTATTTTTATCCAAACTTCATAAGTTTTTCCTTTTTGTTTTTTATTTGCAGCATTATTTTGAACAAACAAGATTTTGTATTTAATTACTGGAGGATTCTTTTGAGGGGTAGTTGCTACTCTTTGGGGTGTGTCAGGGTTATACTAGAAAGAGTTCATACAATAAACGATCCTTTTTATGAGACTCCTATGTTGCGGATCCTAAGGACACAAAGACAAATGATAGAGGCTCCAACTTTCAGGGCTGAGTAATCACTGGTTGGTCCCTAGGTATGAGAGGAACCCAAGGAGGAGAGGAGCAGCTCTACCTGAGGAGGTCAGAAAAGGCTCTGAGAAGGAGTCAAATGTGCACTACATTTTGAAGAGTAAGGGCGAAATTCTGGGAGCGAACAATAGCAGGAATAAGGTGGAGTGAATGTACAGCCCGAGAACTGCACTTTTTCCTGTAGGCAGTTGGAGTTGGGGGCTTCAGACCGGAGGCTGGTTGATGATGCCATGGCAGTCCGAAGGATGCAGAGGGTGGAGTGAGGGGAGCTGGTGGCTGGGAGACTAGGTCAGGAGAGGGCAGGAAGGGGAGTGATGCCCAGGGCTGGAACCAGGCAGGTGAGCTGGAATGGAGTCAAGACAGGCTGAAACTGGCAGGATTGCCAAACCAGCTCCCTGGAAGGATAAGAGAGGGCCTGTTCTGGGGAAAACCCAGAATTCTAGCTAGGTGCTATTAGCCCAAATAGGAGGAACAGGTTTCTAGAAGAAAGGTCTTCGTTTTGGGCCTGTGAGTGTGAGCCATATGCAGAGGGGACTATTACCTGGGGCTGATACCTGTCTGTACTCAGGGAATGCTGAGTGAGAACACAGGATTCAGGAGTCACTGAATATTCTAATCGGGTAGCCACTGGCTGTTCTAGAGAAAATGGAGCAATAATAGTGAAAAGCCATGTCCCTTTTCTTCCTCTCTGTCTCTCTCTGTCTCTCTCTGTCTCTCTCTCTCTCTCTTTTCTTTTTGTTATACTGGGGATTGAGCTCAAGGCCTTTACACTGAGCTATATCACTAGCAATTTTTAAGTTTTGTTTGATTTTTTTTTTTTTAGTGACACAGAGCCTCACTAAGTCACTGAGTTGCCCCCCCTGGGCTGGGCTCAAACGTTCTCCTCTTGCCTCAGCCTCCCAGGGAGCTGAGAGGACAGGCGTGTGCCACCAAACCTGGCTAAGCCACTTCACTTTCTAGAAGTCTTCCTGTAATTCACATGATCTACATGTAATATTCCTAATCCCCAGGACAACCCCACAGGGAAGAATTCCTGCTCCATTATAGAGGAGGGAGTGCAGAATGCTTAGCGTTAGGTAAGGTCTCACAGCTCACAAGTGGCTGAGCCCCAAGGGACAGTAGAATCCTACATCACACTGTGTCATGTCAGTAAGTCAGAGACAAGATTACAAGATTAGCTTGAGGCAAAAAAAAAAAA